AGAGAGAGAGAGAGAGAGAGAGAGAGAGAGAGAGAGAGAGAGAGAGAGAGAGGAGAGAGAGAGAGAGGGGGGGAGTAGTGAAGGAGGAGGAGACGGTACGTCGGCCGAAGTGAAGAGGAGGCGAGGTGAGTTGTGCAGAGCATGCGGTGCACCAGACAAAAACGATGAGCCGCGGTGGGGGCCAGACGGGGGGCAAAAACACGCGACGAGGCCCAAAGCCCAGGCGCTGCGGGCCCCTCGTTTGAACGACTCTCCCTCTCTGCCCCCCTGCCGCTCGCTTACGAGCGCACGATGCCGTGCATGTGTGCGCAGCGTATGCGCTCCGCGGCTACGCCGGGTGCATCCACGAGCATCGCGTGCATCGCGATAAGGACGAATCCGCGATTGCTCGAGCTAGGAATATTGAAAAGTGGAGTCGAATAATTGTCCGACAGAAATATATAGTCTTTCTTATTCGCGCTTGCGATTGTTTCTTGAAAACGAGTTTCTTCAAAAAACTTAATTTGTTACCTATTCGTTTCGCAAAATGACCGCGATATCGAAGGAGCGAACAAAATTCTCAGTACTCGGTAGGCGATATCGATAGAACAATGACAAAAGAAACTCGCTATGATGTATTACGACGATTCTGAGATTCAATTGAGCTAACACACGAGCCATCGATAACGTACCGTGTGTGTGTGTGTGTGTGTGTGTGTGTGTATTCCCTCGGGAATGAGCCGACGTCGAGCGGCGCGACTGCGAGAGTCCCTCGGTCTTATCTCGAGCTTTCTTGCTCTCTGTTATCACGCTGTACGGCTTCGCCGCTCTTTGTGCCGAGTCTCAAGTGCCGCCTATTTGAAGTGCCGCGAGACAAAGAGCGCATCGCTTCGCATTCACTCGGAGAAGAAGCGCTAGCGGCAGTCTGGACGAGACAAGGTGCGTCTCGTACGAGGATAGATTGGAAAATAGAATCGGATAATAGACGCGGATGTTAACGAGCAAGAGGGAGAGACAATACGACCATCGTTGTGATCTACGAGGTAGGGATTGCGAGATCGGCTACGCCGATCTGGCACGATCTCACCGCTCTCATTATCCTCTCGGTAAATCAAAGAACAAGACCCTCGCAGGTACCTCTTGATTTCGAAAATGTTGATTCGCGAAAGTTGAACGCGTAACTCGTACGACGACGATTCAAGAATTCCCACAGCATGATTTTCACAATAATAACTTAATTTTCTTCATATTTTACAGAATATTCCATATTCGCGCGCGTTACTTATAATACTTTAATTTCATGA